CATGGAATCAAAACAGCATAAGGACCATAAAGGCATCAGAAATATTGGACTTTTTAACCCAGATAAACCCATACACAGAACTAAATGCATTTAGGCCTAATAAACTTTTAACTTACATGAAACCTGAAATTTCAGTAAGAGTTTAAAGATTATCTTTCCTCACCCCCCCCCCCAAAAAAAATTTCACACGTGTGAAAATATGTACCTTCTTCCTCCAGGTAATACCCATGTTTTTAACATCCCATACTGTTAACCAGCAGGAATGCCACACTCTCAGATGCAGGCAGAACAAAACAGGGTTACTTTTTGCAAAATGTCACTGAAAAGTACCATGAAGAGTTTGTGATAATAACATGAAGAAAAGTTGTTATGATGTTAAGTTACTAATGTTGTAATGTTGATAAACAGAGCTTCAAAATAAATCAAATCTATCAGTTACAACAAGAAAACTGTCATTGCAAAAGCTCCCAAACAAAGCACAATGGAAATGCACTCACGTTATTTGCGTCAAGAAAAAAGACCAGACAACTTCCCACATATTAGTCAATTCTGTTTAAATCTACTTTCAGATCAAATCTCTACTTTCCTGCATCAACCTACATCCACATCACATACTTCTTTCTTAACGCCACTGAAGTATTTTACTGAAGTGCTTGAGCAATGGCTGACAAACAATTGACCAGTCATCAATTTTCTAATTACTGAAGAAACTCCAGGGTTTGGGTGTCTTCTACTACTTAGTGTATTTTGTATCCCTTTCAGTATATGACATCGTAAGTACAGAAGTTAACAGCTCAAAAATCAGAGGTTGTATGAAGCTGAAGCACTACTCTACAATATTGTTATTCAATAAGTATTCAAGAATCTAAGCATTGACCTAGAAAATTTGTGCATCTCCTAAAAGTGGTAAGCATTTACAGATATGCTGTCATACAGGAAATCTAATTCAAGGTTATCTTCATTTAGTGCTTCATTAACTTCCACAGTAAGCAGTTTTGTAATAAAAAGACTGAAGAGTAGGCCAGCCTGAACAATGTTATCATTTGTGCCCAGCTACACGTAAAACAGATCTATTCTGATGTGCAAGACAAATGGCAATATTATAAAGGATTTCCATATTCTCTCAGAAGCAGCTGATACTTGACTGGTCAGGACAACGCACAAACTACGAAACTGCTTTCAGTTTCCTTAAGAAATAAATTTAAGCTCCTGCTCAACTGTGACAGTACAAAAGTAACGCCTTTATGAAGGTTTGGGTTTTGTTTAGTTTGGGTTTTTTAAACTGTGTTCTTGACTAAATCTTAAAATGTATTATTATTCACAAAAAGGTGGGAACAGCCACTCCCACGAAACATGAACTAGATAACACTGATAATTAAACAGACTTACGGAAGCAAACAGTAGCTGTACTATCTTTTCAGTTTACCTGAGCTACAGAATTTCTAAGGATCATAAATCATTGCAGAAGTTAGTCACTGTACTATTAAAGGTTTTGAGGACAAAGTTTGACATAGTCAGAGGTAAGAACAACTCAAGAAGCCAATTTGAAAACAGGCATTTGTTTTCCCAACTAAATACTTCAAAATTACGAATCTCAAAGAGCACTCAGTGATTACATTTATGTTAATTAGAGCCTTTCAAGGTAATGTCTACATTACAAAGGCAAAATGAAATATAAAGGGATGACAGCAGAGTTACCTGATGTTCTTTGCACTGTGCAATGCTGATTGTTCACACAGTTTATTCAGCAAACTTCAAGACAAAGACAAATTCAGTTCCCTTGCAAATACCTTGGGCAGCTGAGTGTGCTTTACATTCCTTACTGGCTTCATATGTGGCAATAAGAGACTAAAAATTGCTCAGGTACCATAATACAAACCCACTCTGCAAAGTTCTGCTAATAACTGCACAGCATCACTCTTTCAACTACCGTAGATAAAATAAGCAACCGGGACATAGTGTGCCTTAAGGTCTGCAAAGATCAAACAGCAGCAGGACTAAAGAGAGCTGGGTTACCCACAGCACATAAGAAATCTTCCCACACGTCATTTATCACCAGTTCCTATGGAATTGAAACATTTCTTTTAAAAAGTCTCATCTGTGCTTGCTTTCACAGGCACAGGGCAACACAAAATAATGGGAGTATTTGTGTAATTATGTTCCATCTTTCCTGAAATTATCAGATCAAATTATGTTCTTAAGCCCTGCTACAGATGTCAACAATCATGGATCTCTATCATGGGTCAGATGCAGTGCTAACAGAGTTAGCTCCCTTCCACATCCCCTGGGAGCTGCATAGTCTCCTCCTTTTACTCAAAGGCCTTGCCAATTTTACAACTGACTAGCAATTTTGAAGCAGAAATATAATCACGTTCCCTTTGTTCCTGCATCATAAATATTGTTTCTAAGGTGCCTGTGCTTAAGTTATATGCATTACCTACACACACATCCAACTTCTCTTTTGTGTATATCAAGTACAATGGTCAGAGCTCCATCACTGCAGAACCTCGAAGATCTGAGAATGCGCTTTTTTATGCCCAATACCTTCTGAATGTTTTGAATTCTTCAACTCTATCACACACCTGCTAAACAGCAACTGCATAGATGTTTTTTTGTAAACACCAGAGAGGTGCAGAAGGAAAACAGTAAGAATGCAAGGCCAGGCTGGCCTCTCTCAGTAGCATCTATGAGGAGGAACACAGACCTTCTCCTCTAGTGCCTATGAAGGTCTGAAAATGGCACTCACATTTTAGTCAAACTTATTAGTATAAATAAAGCTGAAAAAGGAAGTTACTAGGATGCATTTCTCACTATGGCAATGCTCTAAGCTGTGGTGGGGACCAGGAATAAGCTAGCTACCACTCAGATTTTTTTCTCTTCCAATTTAAGATGCACTAAAATCTACACAGAAAGTCAGACAGAGAAATCTCCTTCTGTGAGGTAAAACTGGGATTTTCTAAAAGGCTAATGAGGTATTAAAGGTACACAACTAAAGAAAATTTTGGGTAAGCAAAAAAAAAAGTTGGAATTCTTTATTTTACAGAGTATAAACCTCAAAAACCATATACCAGGACTTATTTCCACTAAGTATCATAGAAAACATGAAGCAAAAAGGCAGACATAGGAAAAGAAATCATTGCTTAGGCATGAGGAACAAAGGGGGAAAACCTATTGAAAATGACATACAGAAAGACATCCCTATACCCAAAATAGGGAAGATATAGCCAAGTATCATTGAAAGGGGATAAAGAAAGGCAAGGATCACAAGATTCTATTTAAGGGCCCTAAAAAGTATCTTCAGTGATCATACTGCTATTAAGGACACTATATTCTGCAAATCCAAGTGGGGCATTATGGCAAGAACTGCGTTGTTTTTCCTGGAAAACTGCTAATAGTTGCTACTAAACATTCATCTCTTGGTTGTGTAAATGATAATCTGGTGCAGGTTGGTTCCTGTGGCTTTCAGAGAAGCAGCTATATTTGAACAGTGCTCGTTACAAAAAACTGTGTTTTGTCTACATGAGAGCTTCCATCACGGTTGGCACTGAGATTTCTACTAATGCTTTCAACTATGTCTGGCATAAACATCACAGAGAAAGCGGCAGTCTGTTAACAGCCCCTGCTTCAGTAGGATTTCAGCAATGACCAGTAAAACCCTGCCTACAGCAACACACATTTACAGTAGACTCTATACGGCACTTTCCTCAGACATTCAGTGCACGAATGCAAGGGGAAATGGACTGATGCCCCTCCGGCTCTCTCCCAGCCCTCATCAGACTCATTATGCAGTTTTCAATACCAGCACTCTCCCCTTCACTGCTCCAGGTCACCACTAAAGCAGCATCATCTACAAGAAAGCCATATAAAGTCAGCCTGTCCATGGAGAGACTACAAAAAAACCCCACGTGCAACAAAACTCACATTTTGCCACACCCAGAACATTTTCTGGGGTACAGCACTGGTGTGTGTTTAGCAAACTGGGAAATTACAGCTCTCCACTGTGGGAAATTCAAGAGTCAATAGAATTTTACATCCCTCTGATCAGTAAAAGCAAGTCTTGACTGTATGAACAAGGTGTAAAAGCTGTTTATTAAAGATGACATTTTTCATACATATAACAGTAGAAGTGAAGTATGCTTAAGAAAGCCTGGACTGTTTCCCATTCCATCCTGGTCTGCATCTCCCAATTCTTCTCCCAAAGTTTAAGAGGGACTAGAATAATTCAAATCTGCAAGAGACTACGGGTAAACACAATTCAAGTTGTAGAACAACTTATTTTGGGGGTATTTTGGTGAGGAAAGATCAAACACACAAATCTTTTTCATTTGTTAGAGTTGTAACTTACACTACTCCTCATTACCCAGTCTGCCTTGTAACTTCCACTCCTGCAACTTCGTGATTCCAAAATACTCATGTTAACACTCCCACGGCTTATTCACCAATCCAGTATTAAAACCAAATAACATATATATGGTTATTATTAGAGAGAATTCTAGAATCTTAAATAACACGAATCAGTCTTTCATGTTTTCTTAGAGTTAATTCTATAACCAAGTCTGAAGTTGAATCTGAAAGTTTGCTATGGGTTTTTTTGTTATTTTGTTTGGGTTTTTTAAAAACTTTTTTACAAAAAGTAAAACTGAAAAAAATTCTTCCTAATGCAATGACTCAATTTTAAACAAATTAAGGCAAGTATTAAAGGTCACGTGTTCATATCTATGCCTAAAACATTTGTGGTCCTGAAAACGTCTGGCAAGTAAAATCTCACGTGCTCCACTACACTATCTTATGAAGTTGCTGTAATTAAGAAATCACTTGTGACTAATTTATAAATTTTCTGAACATGTAACTTTTCTCTTATTTAGTGTTAAATAAAAGCTGTAAACGTAACACTTTTTAAAGGGTTTCTAGAGCTTTGGAAAAAACCCCACAAAATGTGTTTCCTGGGTATTTTTGACTGCAAAACAATTAAAAAATAAAGACAATTCAAATGTACTTACTTTGATAGGAGCTGTTGAGAACTTGACTTTTCGGTCTGGATCAGGATCCTCCTCTTCAGAAAGCCCAGGAAACTCCTCATATTCACTGTCATACATATACGCATCCTCTCCCTCCAAAATTTCTTTGCCTTCAGGCTCTTGGTTTTCTGGCTCTGTATCCCTGTCACCATCAAAAGCTGCATTCTCTATTCCAAAAGCACTGAAGTCCTCACTTTGCTTTTCCAACACTTGCTCCTCTTCTTCAGTATCCTCTTCCTGCTCTAGAACGTCCTGAATGCGTGTAACTGGACCATCTCTTACAGACAACCCATTTCTTTCTTCTTCCCAACTGGTCTTGCTGCCATCCATAGACTCTTCTATCACTTCCAAGGCATAGTCACTCCTCTCCCCTTCCTGTACTTGACATATGAGCATCTGATCCTCTTGAACAACGTGATCTTTCTCCAAACCTTCATTTTCATGCCCTGAGGTTTCATTTTGTCCAACCAGCTCTGTGCAAGTCCCCTCTGTGGGGGAAACTGAGGAGGAAACACTATCTGATCTGTGCTGAGCCTCCTGACCGGGCACACTGCCCATATCCCACAGGCTTCTCTCAAGTACCAGTTGCTCCCTTTTGTCTTTTCCAAGAGCCTCACTCGGCTCATCTCCGTGAATCCCAAGCACTTTGGGGAACACACCCTTCTCCAGACATCCTTCAGCAACAGCAGGCAAATTCAAACTCTCCTGGTCTCTCAAAGGGTCCTGATTCAGAGGACTATCATTTTTTGAAATTTCTTTGGAGTCTTCAGTATCACTGTCACCCAAAAAGCTTTCCAGCCTCCTAGAAATGGGCCCTGCATTCAGGAAGGAGGATTTAGAACCACTGTTAGGATGTTGCTGTTTCAACTCCTCACTGCCTTGATTTTCAACTTTCTCCAATGCAACTGGAGGACTCGCTTCTGTATTAAAACTGAAGTTGTCCACCACATTGCTGCAATCAGAAGCTGAACCACGTCTCCTCTTATCTTCACTTCTTTCACATTTGCTGGGGGAGTATCTGTCCACTGAGCTCCGCTGTTTTATATTCCTCTCAAAAAGCTTCCTAGTCTCTGAAAATTTTTCTGCCAGGGCAACTTTGTCCAAGTCTGCCTCATCACTGCTACGGACAACCCTGTCGGCAGCAGAAGGCACAGATAACGAATCCACAGGACTGCTGCAGGGGCTGGTGCTTGTATTAAGAAGATTATTTTTTTGGACAATGAGAAAAGATGGGCTACCTGGAGAAGGTCCATACTCTGCTGCTGTGGCCCGGCTGATTAATTTGGTCTCAGCAGGTGGACTGCTTTCAGAGGCTGTGGAAGAAGAGCTTCCCATTTGCAGAAACATATTTTTGATCTTGTGTACTCTATTGCCATAAGTGGCAGCTCTGCCTCGACTGTGTGGGTCATTTCCCCCTCCATTGGAAGAGGTGTTCAGCTTCTGATGCAAGCCTGTTTTACTGGAAGTGTTATCAGGATTGTTTACACCATCAAAAGAGCATTTGATAGCATGGAAATCAGATTTATAGGCATTTCGGTGTGGTGATGCACTTCTTAAAGTCCTTTCCGCCTTGCCTTCAGTTTTCATCATTGTCAAAGAGAAAGCTCCCTCGACTCCTGAAGAAGAATGGGAAGAACGGCTCCTTAGCACAAAGCTTCCACCCTCCAACAGCAGGCAGAGCAGATCCCACAGAAGATCCCAAAAGCAGCCTTTCACTCAGCCAGCTTCCCCGCTTGCACTGAAATGGAGTGCAGGGGAGAGAAAGAAATCAAAGCGCGTGAATGGCTACATCGGGTGTTATCCCCAGCGCGGATCGCGGTATCCGGAGAGCCATCTGCAGAGAGACAGAGAGTTTCCATTAACTCGCCGGCGTGTGACACGAATTCGAAACTCGGGGTGGGAAACGTCGCCCGAGACCTCCCCGCGGGATAAACCCCATTGTGTCCGCCGGGACGCGGGGAACCAGCTGCTGCCCGTCCGCCCGGGCACCGACCTGGCAGCTCCGGAGGGGGATGCGGCGGCGGCGGCAGGCGGCCCCCCGCCCCCTCCGGCTGCCACCCCTCCGCCAAGGGCCGTCCCGGGCCGGGCCAGGCCGGGCCGGGCGGCGGGGGAGGGGGCAGCGCCGGCCCTTCCCTTCCCTTCCTGGCGCCCGGGGGAAGCCGGGCCCGGCCGGCCCCCGCTGCCCGCACCGCGGGACGGAGGGGCCCGGGCGCCCCGTGCCGCCCGGAACGGGGAAGCCGCAAGTTTCGGCCCCAAGCTGGGGCTTCCCCGTGGCGACGCCTTTGCGCCGCGGGGCCTGCGGGGCGCGCAGCGGAGCCGCCGCGGTACTTCGCCCCAAACTTTCCGAGCCAGCCTACCTGGGGGCGGGGGTCCCGCCGCCTCCTTCCCCTCAGCGCTCCCGACCGCCCAGCGGCCGCGCGCACCACGCCATCATTATCCGCCGCCAGCAGCCGCCCGCCTTTCCTCCCTCCCTCCCACCCCCCCGCCCTACCGCCGCCGCCGCCGCCGCCGCCACCGCCCCGCGCTCCTCACTCCACCTTCCCCCGCCCCCGCGGCGCGCTCCGCTCCGCTCCGCCGCCCTCCCGCGCCGCTCCCCGGCCGCGCTGCCCCGCGCCCTCCTCCGCGCTGTGTCTCGGGCCCGCCCGCGCGCGCTCCCTCGCTCGCACACAAAGAGAGGGAGCGGCGGGCGCGCCCTCGTTCCTCTGGCAGCGCCAGGGAAGAGGGGCTGGGGGGCGACGGGCGCGCCCGGCCCGGGGGAAGCGCCTCCCGCGCCGGGATATACCACGCCGTAGCGGGCTACGGGTTTCGGATGATACCATGTCGGCGAGGTGAGCGGGCCGCGGCCCGGTGCCTCCAGGCGGCCCTGAGCGCGGGGCAGCGCCGGTGGGTGCGGAGCGCTCCCGGCCCCGCCGCCGGGGAGCGGGGAACGTGCGCGGAGGGAGAGCCGCGGGACCCCGGAGGAGCGCGGGTGCCGAGCAGTTGTAGAGCTGCGCGCTATTTTCAAAGCCCGGGCGGCCGGCGAGAAGGGGCAGCCCCGGCTGCACCGCAGAGTAGCGCGGCTCCCGCAAGGGAGAAGTCGCGACAGCTGCCACGACTGAGGCTCTGACAGCCGGAAGTAACAACAGTGCCAAACATTCCTTTTTTCCCCCTCTTCCTTTTACAAATCAAGTTGTTTTTACTCCCTCCCGAGCAGGCAGGTATCAGAGAGCAGGCACAGTCCCCCGCGCTCCCGCTGCCCGCCCCCGCCGTGCGGTACAACTTCGTGGATACTCTCACGTGCCTGCGCAGGGCGATGGGGTGAGCCCGCCCTGTTCCCTCGCACGCTCCCCGGGCTGGAAATCACTGCAGCTCCCCGAGACTGGGGAAATGCTGCCCGTCATCGGTAGCCCTAGGCAGTGATAATCGCAGTTGTGCAAGCAGTGTTCCATATATCCATTTGTTAGTCCAAATAAAAGCATTGGCTTCAATCTGTTTATCAGTTAAAGACAGAATTTGGATGACTGTCTAGTTTCGAATGTAGCTCCTTCCACAGACCATATATAAGGATCACACAAAATAATTAGGAGAGCACAGAAGAATACTGGTAGTTACCAATTATCTGGTAACTGTTGTTACCAAATTGTGTAACAACTCTTTTGAAGTCTAAATACTTAACTCCTTGACAAGAATTGCCACTGGTTTATTACTCAAGTCTGGTGTGAAGTTTATACATTCTTCCAGACATCCCAATTGACTTCTGCTTAACTGGGAATCACAGTGCCTGAAATACTTCACAGCTTGATCTAAAATTGATGATAGTTTCAAATTAGCCTTAATCATGATTTTACAATAAAATAAAGTCTTTTTATTGATACTTTTTTCTAATACAAAGCAGAGACAACATTGTTGAGACCTTCTTCTGTGTTTTAAACATTGCAGGGCCAGTGGAATTTCACTGAGGTCTGCCATTGGCAGTCTTACATACACTTGGTAACACCATTTTGAATAAAATTTTAGTACAGATAGTTTCACTGCAAGAGCAACAAATGTTTCTTATTTTGAGAATATGTAGATCCTATTTACAACAGGTAGTTGTGACCCATCTACTGCGTGCTACTGAGGTGGTCCTTTGTGTAGCATTTGTAGGTTGGCTTGAAATTGCAAGGCGTAACCACCATCTTTCAGTAAATAGGCTACAAGAAGATACTAGGCAAATGTGGTTTTTTTCCCAAACCAAAGGTAAGTACAAGGTTGCTCGGCAGCTTGAGTACTGTGGGCAGAGGATGCTCTGTGTTCTGCTCAGGGAACCTGGCAGTATGTAGGAGACTGCTCAAAGAAAACAAAGGCAAGAACTCAGGAACACCATGAAACCAAAGCACAAAGCAGCTCTAAAGCATGCTCAGGAAAGCCAGTGGCCTTTGTACTGGGTGCTGGCTGAAAGAGGCTGGAGCAGGAAGATACTCATGTGTTTTGAACCCTCCCATGCATGAGAAAGAAGGAATTGTAATTACAGATCCTGAAAACAGATTTAATTGCATCAAAGGACTCTTATTTCTTCACAATTTCCCATCCTAATTAGGAAAACATACAGGTTATTTTGGCTAGCTACGCTGCTTAGGGAGGACAATATTTATCGGGGTCAGTTGGTTTCTAATGAGGAAAGACTCTGAATTGCATTCTTGGTGAGTGCAATGTGAATGTGAAAGAAATCATAGATTTGTTTACAGAAACAATGATGAAAAAGATGGGAAGAATTCAAGAAAAGGACCTCTGGATTTTGAGCAAGAAGTCTGGGAAGGTGACGTAGTTTATGATTTCATCATAGTGAATAACTGCAATAAAACCTGGGACGAGTATCTTACACGTTCAGTCTGTGATGGTTTCCTTAAAAGATAATGCAACAACAGTGAGTAAGCAAATGGTTTGCACTGAGCAAGAAGCATCTACATTTTGTTATCTAAGCTTATTTAAAAAAATAGGGGTTTCAAGGGGGACCTTGACAGCTCAAATTCTTCTTGGGGAAAAAAGTGTTGCAGTATATGAACTCATGAATCTAACAAAGACAGACAAGGAGGAGAACGTTTCCAAGAAAAAAAATAAAATTGAGGGCACTTCTGCAAACTCAGTTGTTCAAACTGCCACTAAAGTGCAGTGTTTATTTCAGATGTGCAAAAGGAATCCATTTCAGTGGTCATCAGAGAGCGTTTAAGCATCTTCTGAACAATGTTCCTGTGACTACTCTTGTCTTGGCTTAACTGTTTTAAAATCCCTCTCCTATTTTACACATAAGCTGTGCTTACGGTTTGAGGGTAATGTTGACAAAAGAACAACAAATGCTCCCTACGAGTACATCAAAAGAGTGTCTAAACTAGAACTGCACAAGGAAAAAGACTCTCAGGAGGTCTAGATGAGAATGATATTCTGTTATTGGTGTGAAATTTTCTTATAAGAAAGCTCTAGTAAATGTGTAAGTACATGCGATTAGATAAACTGTCATTTCTTAAATGGTTTATTATATTCTTTCAGCTTGTAAGGACAGCCATCCTTTTAGACTTCGGTGAATGATTAATGTTGCTAAAATGGGGCACATATTTAGTGGTCTAGGTTAATATTTATTGATACTGGTGGATTCACTTGCTGCTGTTCATTCAAGGTGAGCATAAGAAACTACTGAGTATATGTTCTATGCCAAAGAAGTTTGAAACTGGTCTCATCGCTCCATTAACATACTTTCCTCAACTCACAAAAATTTTGGTCTTAAATCTTTCTAGAAGCTAAAAATCTTGAGCCAGCAATGCTTTGGCTGAGGGCTGGATGATAAAGCTCCCTCTTTCTTCACTGTTGTTTTATTGCTCCATGCAACTGACTGGGCAGAACATGGCCGAGAAGGAGTAAGAGCCCTCCAGGGCAAGGAGAGCTCAGTAGCTGGTGTAAGTTCAACACTGTTAAAGCTGGTGATCAGATGAACTGTGTGAGACAAACCCATGTCTCCAGCATTCATTGCAAAATTTAATTTTCTGAACTTTTACTCTTTAAAAGTTATCTGCTTTATCCACATTTTAGTTTCATCATGTAATTTGAAATACAGTCTCAATAGATTTCTGTTTAATCTGTTTAATGTGAGTTAAATCAGCAGTTTTAAGCAGAACGAGTCAGTGGTTTTTTTATATTTTTGCAAAATCCAGGAATAGAAGGAATAATTAAGCATTCAGAGTTCCACAATTACTTCTGTAGATTTTTAAAGTTGTATTTTAAGAAAATATTTTTCTATCATTTAGGAATAATTAAAATGTTCTGGAAGTATTTCAGTCATATTCAGTATAATTCAAACAGCAATTCTGAATTTGAAATAGAGCACCTTCTGTAAGTTTGGCAGACAATTTTGTGATGCTTATTTTTAGAATTAAGAAAGCAATCTGTAATTTTAGAAGACTACTTATGTTAAATACAAAGCTAAAATAATAAAGTACCATTTTAGACTCATTACTTTGTAGAACTTCTTCAGTAAAATAAAGCAGCACTAAAGTCCAAAATGGTATTTAATGGTCAATATGATCAATGAAGGAGGAGCAAAAAGTTTCAGAGCAAATGAAGAGAGACAAGTAACTTGGTAAAGGCAGTGCAGCAATGACTGTGAACAGATATGGAACAAAAATTTGAGGAAAAAGCTCAGGGTCAAGTCCCTGAAAGACATTCCCAGGCTTAAGGGCTGCACCAGCCAGGCTGTCATACAGTACCATATGAAAAAAGGCACAGTGTTTGGGTAAGTTAGTGCGTGCTCCAGGTTTCTTTCCTCTTTCCTCACATAATTATTATTTGAAGTAGTGTTATTAACAAGGTGTCAAGACTCAAGACCCAAGCCTTCAGCTTGCCTGGTTCTCTCATTGCAGTAATATTTATGCCACAGAAAACTTTAAACACAGGATATCCAGTGGAACTTTAGAAACAGAAGCAGCAAAGGGGGACTGCCCTCTCTCAATCCCAAACATATCTGTCATGCAAAGCTCCAAGGAGGGGCCATTCTGATGAATTACACATCAGTGTCTACCTTGCTGGATTAACTTCCATAGATCAGTATCTTTGCTGCTTGCTCACCAAGAGAGGTTCTTCAAGGATAA